CCTCTGGTCTCAGCCTGTTATCACAGCATCTCACTGAAGTTATTTTAGCTACAGAGCAGCTTTCTAGCTTCCTGTGTTGTCCCTCAGTGTTCCTCCTAATTGAAGGCTTTTAACATTAACAGCATCTAGCAGCTGTTCTTCTTCAGGACTGGGAGGGGGAGAATCAAATCTTTTGGTTAAACTTCTTCTGTAAGGAGTGGAAATGTGCCTAGAGTAGATGTCCTTCAAGTGACAAGCCATCCCCACTCTGCCAGGGGCTCCTTTTAGCCATGGTTCCCATAAATTCACCAACCATACACCATCCCCAAGCACAAATCAGTGATCTCTGCTTGAATATTTCCTCCAGGGCCAGTGTAGTGGTTACACATAGTTTGGTGGGAGTTGAGGGCACCCAGGTCCAGTGCTGCACCATAGAGTCATAGAATAGTTAGGGTTAGAAAGGACCTTAAGATGATCTAGTTCCAACCCCTTGCCACAGGCAGGGACACCACACACTAAGCCATGTCACCCAAGACTCCCTGCTGTGCCACCTGTGGGTAACATATTGGACAAAACTGGATAGTTTCACAAGGAGCTATTACCCATGGAGAGGCAGAGCACATCCCTGGCCAACGAACAGAGCAGCAGCAGCTGGGAGCTGCAGGGTCCCACCTTGGTGGGTCTCTCTGCATTGCATGGAGAGGAGCATGCTGTGAGCAGCAGCTGCTGAACAAAATGGAAAATGGGATGGGACGGTAGCCAGCGGGACACGCTGTGCTTTGTGCCTGCAATTTCTCTCCAGCCAGGGTGGGATCTGCGCAGCAAAAAGCTGCCCGAGTCCTCAGAAGAGGGCTAGGATTTACTTTTGTCAAGGCCTTGAAAGTTTTGAAGTCCAGAGAGAGACAAGAAGCAGCATGCTCCACCAGTGCCCAGGGGAAATTGCAACAGAATCACCAGTCAAAAGCATTCAAAGATCACAAACCAGACCCAGATGATCATGAATCACAGCTTAGAAACCACAAACGGTTCTTAAGCCTCTTCAAAATTATGGCATTTACCAACAGGCTCGTTTGGGCTGGTTCACATTCTCCAGCCTTCTTCTGAACCCAACAGAGAGAAAATGGGCTAAAGCAAAAGGAGAGCTTGGGCCCATGCACATGGGCGATCCTAGGACTTCAGTCAGAGCAAGACCTAGATCCCAGTAAAGTCCATCCATAAAGCTCTTAGGTGTCATCAATGTTTTAATCCCTGTTTTAAATATTAGTATAACTGCAGAGATAAAAGCAGTACCCCTGAAAGCACAGGGTTGTCCAGTCCAGCACCCTGTTCTCAGAATGGATCCAGAGACTTCCTCCAAGTTTTTTTGCCTCTCCATTCCATTGCTGACTTTCTAAGTTTCATAATGTTAATTCTAGTTTATAATAATACAGCATCGTAAAAGCAAAGCTGGGCATCATGATAATTATTTATGATTTATGCTTCTGGCCAACATTGAGTGTTTCTTTAGAGGCTTTAATTATCATTTATGCATCTTTGTTCCTCATCCATAAAAATCCCAGGGCTCTGTATGGCTGAAAGCTGAATTTATAGGATCCTGGAAACAGCAGAGCCTGGAGTCAGTGAGAGAGGCTGCTCCTAACCACCACAATGCCAGACCCTGTGAAAGAACACGAATGTCAGCAGGGCACAAAGTGGAAAAATGAAGCAAAAGTGATAGTCCCAGCAGGTGGAACTGTAGCTTGTGGAGTAAAAGGGTCTTGTGAAGGCTGCATGTGATCTGTGTCTGCACTAAGATGGAGATTTACAGGGACAAGTCTCTGGATCTGAGGTCCCAAGTGGGCAAGAGGTTGGCAGCACATATATTTGGGCTCAGGGGCACTGGCAGCTGGTGCACCCTCCCTCCTGTGGCCCACAGGTATGTGCAACCACAGCTGCCCAGCCTTCTGCCAGCAGTGTCTGATCACCCTTTAGGTAATGCAGGAGGATGCTTAGAGAGAGCCTGACCCCAGACCACCAGGCAGCTCTGCAGCTCAGCCTGAGCAGAGGAACAAGAACAAAGTTCAGGGATGTCTCAGCTACAGCAGCAGATGCAGGACAACATCATCAGCATCATCGCCTGCCTCCAGCCTGTCACTGTCTGCTCCTGGCAAGCACTTCAGTGCTGGAGGAAGGCTGTCCCAAGTCCAGGCACTGTGGGGCTGCACTGGGCTTGAAAGCAGGATAGATTTCTTCTTCCAAAAAAACACAGAGGGAAAACTTCAGGATGCAACATCTCTGAATATTTCCTACAGAAACCACAGCATAATGTGGGAACCTCAGCCGTTTTTTAACAGGAAAACCACGTTTCTTGTCAAGTGGGGTTTGAAACTATGAGCCAGGGGCTTCCAGAAGCTCAGAAAATGGGAAGGAGTGATGAAAAGAGGATCTTGGCATGGATGAATAAGGATAAGAAGGAAAAGCATACTGCAGGCAGCAGCCACAGGCTTTGGCAGCCACTTCCTCATGTAGAAGGAAAAAAAACAAGTTAAAAGCTGCTTGGGGAAAGGAGGTTCAGCAGTGGATTATTTCATCTCCGTTACCAGAGCAAAAGCACTGCTGCTCCTCATATCCCTGATGGGCTGCAGACAGTGTGTTCACTGCAAAGCACCTCACTTCCACAACCAGGCTGAAAACATGCAAGGCATCAAAAATAATGTCATATTTATTAGGGATGTGCTTCAATAGCAAAGCTCACAGAGGGATGTAGTGAGCTGACTACATGCAGAAATCAAAAGGAAACCCTTGATCGAAAGGAAATGTTTAGCCACTATGTTCAAAGGCTCCCTAAAATCAAAGACAAAACCCTTCTTTAATCAAGGCCATTGACCACAGCTGAAAGCACAGAGTTGCTAGCAGTGCCTGCAGCATCACCTTTCACAGCACAGCTACAGGTGCCAATGCTCTTACACCCCAGCATCTTTCCCCAGTATCCCACATCTGTGTCCTAGGAACAGTTAGTTCTTGGAACCTGAAATGAAGCCCTGTTTTGTAGGGACAATAAACATCAGCCATCAACTATGGTCCAAAACATCACAGTGTCCCTAGTTTAGCTTTAAACTTTCAGCCACCTCTTTTAGTTTGAGCCTGTCATTAGGAAAGGCAGCAAGAGCTAATTGGGCCTTATCTAATCTTAGCCCAACCCAATGGTCAATAGCAGTTAGCCAAAGTTTATCAGCAGTGTTTAACCATCATTTATCAGCTCTGGGGAGATTTTACTCAGGCAGGTGTGTGTCATGCTGATGCACAGGCGGGGTCAGGGAGTATTGCTTTTCCACACCCCAGAGCAGATACAAACGATTAACAAAGCAATAAGGACACGTTTGTTGTGGCTAAAGCACCCGGCGGTAGCATTAGTTGCTGCCGGGTGAGAGTTCACCAAGAATAAAGTTCGAATGTAGGAATGCACTTTCAAACTAACATGGGTCTCATGGTTCCCTGTGGCAGCGGCTTCAAGAAAAAGCTATCTCTGGAAGCACGCTCAGTGTTTTCATATCTGAGCTCTTCCTTCCTCTTTTTGGCACATTCAGGATCAAAGTCCAGCAACAGAAACATCAGCTCTAGCCCACGTCTGCTACCTTTTTCCTTTTCCTCACAAGATCTCATTTCTATCGGTCTGTGAAGGAGTGCACTTCTCATTTTAAAACCTCTCCATAGCTAACAGGGAGAAGTGTTGTCAGAAATGAAAGACTTTTTTCATAGTTTGCATTACTTTTCCCTTCATTTCCACACCTTTCTGGTTTTTTTTAACAGCCACTTTTTCCCATGGAGCTAAGCAGGCTGAGAGCTCTCTGCTGGAAAAGTCTCTTCTCCCCTAATTGAAATGGTACAGTGAGATGGACCTAAGAGTTTCATCCTCTTCAAGCCACATATTTCATTGAAATCAGAAGTACAATAGTGTTTTTCAGAGTCTTGGAGAAGTGATGTAAAAGCAACAACTGGAGGCAGACGGGCTCTTTTACCCAAACAGGACAGGGCAATAGAAATCCAGGATCCTTATTCAGAATGCTTAATACCAGAGCTCCCTGTTAAGTTACCCCACTCATGCTTCAGAGCAATGTCCAGCCTTGGACAAGGGACATGGGATCCTTGGGAGGAGGGACAGAGGTTGAACTATGCAGAAGGTCAGGTTAGACTAGGTCATTTTCCAGGAGTCTGTGACACTGAAAGGAAGGCACATAACATATATTCTATGGTTCTATTCTATGATTCTATTCTATAATTCTATATGCTTCCCATTTGTATCTTGATGTGTGGTAGAGGGAGTAGGCAGGGAGTGCTACTGCTAGTCCAGAGAACAGGGTGGTGCCTTGCTGGAGGAGACTGAAAACTCTGTTTGCACAATTATCGGCCACAGCACTTAATCACTCTGCCCTGGATCTCTGAGAGCCGCAGGGGCAGATACAGAGATGGGAGGCAGAAAGGATTTAATAAAGAAGCAATTTTATGAAGGAATTCTTTGCTTTTGGCATTTTCTGTAGGAGTGGGTAAAACGATACTTTTTCTCCAGTGCTGCCAGGGAAAGCAAGAAGAGAAGAGCTCTGTATTTCAGCTCCTGGGCAACCAACCCCATGTGCTCCCACTGCCTCCATGGAGATCCCACATGGGAGCCAAGGAGATGGGTACAAGCAATAAGGGAAGAAAGTCTTCACAGGAGCCAGCACCCGCTGCACTGTTCCTGACCTGGGATCACCCCTGGGTGGACAGCGGCAGCAGTTGTCCCATCTGCAAGGTACAGAGCCCGGAGGCCACTGCTGTGACCAGAGTACACCACAGTCCAGAGGTATCCCCACCAGCCACATGCCACTACCCAGTAAGTGAGAGCAGATGAGGGAAAGGTTTCTGCAGGCTGGGTCCTTGCGGTTTGGTATCAGGGCAGTGGTGGAAGAGCACAGGCAAATGGTCCAGGAACTTGCCCCCACACTAGGGAGCTGTGCAATCACACCCCAGGCAATTTCAGCCCGTAATCCCCACAAACACATCACCTCTCCTTGGTATGTTCATCCTCTTCAGGAAGCATTTGATGGGCATTCAGACACAGTCCCTTCTGAACAACCCAACAAGCTATGATTTATGTGATGCCTTTGTCTTCAGACACTGCTGTCAGCAATACCCATTCTCAGACAAAGCTGCTACTGACTGCAGATTTCCAAAGGTCGCTGTCGTGGACACACTGCCCTTGCTGAAGGTTAAAAACAGAAGCTTCAGTAAAAGTAGAAATGCTAATTTGATAATTTGTTAATTTTCCCCTGTGGCTATCTTCAGCCGCCTCCCCAGAAACCAGAGGCCCCAGGGGCAATGTTTCCAGGACAGAAAACAAACGTATATACTGTTCTGGGCTCTAAAGACACCTCTACAGCTACAGAAAATAAGTGATATTTCCACAACAGCTACCCACAAGATCCCTTTTCCCAAACTGTCAGACAGTTCAATATCTTCCATGCACCCAGAGCAATAAAATAGCTTTCCCAGCGCTAATGGGAAAGGATCAATGAGAAAAATCAGTGCAGACCAAATTATGGTTGTGTTTGGTTTTCTGCAGAAAAATCAGTGTTTGATCAGTATCTCCTGGGTACAAGAACAGCTGATCACTGCACACTGGCTAGCTATCGACTTGCTGATGCAACAAGTCTTGAATGGATGGTGCCCAAATGGATTCAGCTGCACCATCCCCTTTCCTCCAACCAACTTGCAGAGATCTCCCCATGGGCTCCTGCATGTGTTGATGACCTCCTTATCTCTATGGGCACACCACTGCACAGGGCTTGCTCTTCTGCACTTTCTGCGCTGAATGCTTTCAAAACCATCTCAGAAACCATAAGCAAAGTCCTGGGTACCCCTGCAAGCTTCAGGCCCGGCAAACCCAGCAAGTAACAGAGCTTTGGGAATTTTTAGCCTTTAAATCCAACACAAGTAGCTTTTTGGACCCGAGAGAGCTTTGAGCATCTTAGGAGCTATCTTTTGTGACACCCTGGGCATCACATTTGCATCAGCCTTTCTGCAAACTTCACTCATCCCACTCATCACAGGGCAGCAGCAAACTCTACCTGACTTGTTAACCACCCCGAGCACAGGATCCTCCTACAGGTCCCCAAAAGTGCCTTCCTTTCCGGTATCCAAGAAAGATCCCTACAACCTCCACCAAGGGATGCCACCAGCACAGGGACGTAGTGTGGGGTTTGGCTGCACAGTCACTCCTTGGTGGCAGAGCATGGGACCCTGTTGGGACAAGGCTGAGGGGTCACATCTCATTTGTAATCGCAGCCCTAGCACCACCAGTCAAGTGTCACAACATCCCTGTTACCACCCCAATTCCCAGTAGCTGGGACTGCAAGAGGATGTCATTTTCTCTCTGTTGGGTTCAGAAGAAGGCTGGAGAATGTGAACCAGCCCAAACGAGCCTGTTGGTAAATGCCATAATTTTGAAGAGGCTTAAGAACCGTTTGTGGTTTCTAAGCTGTGATTCATGATCATCTGGGTCTGGTTTGTGATCTTTGAATGCTTTTGACTGGTGATTCTGTTGCCATTTCCCCTGGGCACTGGTGGTTTTTCTCTCTACATAAAGTCTTCAGAAAAAGCAAATCCCAGCCTTGGTACAGCAAGTGCTCCTCCAGCCTGTCATAGATGGGCCATAGCAGGAAAACAAGTAGGTTCCCAAATTCTATAATCCTTCATGAAAATCAAACTTTTTCATTTCCCTGCAATGCAATTTTTTATTCTTTTGCAATACTTTCCTATTGAAGATAAAGTGTAATTTGACAGTACTCAGGCACTCATCCTGAAGGAAAATCTCCTCTTCCTGCTGATCCACCTAGAAGCAGACCTGCTGCCTTACCCACCACCCCTTCCCTGCATTCCCATGTGTTGATTTCCCCTACAAGTGCCTTGCAGAAGCCAAAAGACATCATCAGCAATAGCAGAGGTCCTTCATCCCACACTGTGTGTGATGGCCATCACCCAACAAGGCAACCAAGGGGAAGCCATCCCATAGCAGCATCGGCATTGGGGCCTGCTTGTCTTCTCCATTTCTCCATGGCAAGTGCTGCACTCGGCAAGTCCCACCGCACGGCTGGCAGAGCCGCCTGACTCATTTTTCTCTACTCCTCCAGCTGATGTGTTCAGAGGAACACGCTGCTCTGACAAGGTGACACATCCTGAGAAAGCCCACACTGATGAAGACATCTCCCTGCTCCTTCTACCAGGAGCACCCAGCGCAATAGCAGTTTGCAGCTCTTTTTCATTCCTCCCCAGTCAAATCAGCCCCAAGGCATCTCTGATTTTCATGAAGGATATAATATAGATGTCAATCAGGAGAGAGAAGCCCTGAAATCCCATGTTTTTGAAGGCATTTCATAAACACAGAGATGTCAGCAGAGGCACTTGGGAAGGAAGAGCAATTGCTAACGGAGAAAATTGCATTAAAAACCTACTGTGGCTGCTGTTGGGCTGCAGCAGCATTAGCAGCCTATATGGGAGGCTTCTTTTGACAGAGGGAATTGACCTTGAATCAGTTGGTTTGGCTCAGTCTGTGGCAGAATAAAGTTCAGTCCATCATACGCATAATCTGGAATTTCAACCTTCTTCAGTAGTAAAGTACTTCATCGGTAGCTCTGAGAGGGGTTACAAAGATTAAGTCAGTGCAAATCTTTCAGGAGCCCAAGCAATAAGAGGATAAAGACAGAAGTGTCCAGGAGGCAAGGGCTGGTCAACAGCCTGTCTCTGCTTTGATGCTTCTGACTTGTGAAGGAAGGACAGGAGAAAACCGCAGTGTTGTACACACTTCAAATGCCCCAGGAGACAACGCAGTTCCCATCTGCAGAGCAGCTGTCATAAACACTGAGGGTTTACCCATCAAATTCAAGTTTGGAAATGTGCCTAGATGTTTCCAAAGAACCTGAGAAAAGATGTTTCTGGACAATCAAAAGTATCACATTTCCTGGCTACAGCAAGGATCTCTAAACTGGAAAAGGTGCAAACGTGTTTTACCAGGAGTGGGCACATCCCAAACAGGAGTAATCAGAGAAACTCTTTCCAGCACTGCTCTATTTGCATGTGTTACAGATTGAAAAGCAAAATCTTTTCCCCAGTTTCGCTGGCATATAACCATCAACACTCTTGCTAAGTCCCCTTCCAGCTTTGGGAAGTGAGACAAAAGCACCTATTGGCACCTACTTGGCTTTACTTACACTGGCAGGTGTGTTGGAGGAGTAACAGGGGACAGTGCTGGATCCAGATGAACCTCTTTCAGCTATAAAAAATGATCATACCTCCCACCCTTGCTCCTCAGAGTGATTACACCACAAGAATCTTTATCCCAGGCGCACTAAAGCACTGCTGCTTGCTCACAGAGATCCACTCACACCCAGCCCAAATATTCACACCTTTACTGTCCTTGTTAATAAAATAATAGATAGCATTAACAGCAGTTCTTTCAGCCTCATGTTGCAGGTCCCCCCAGGGAGAGCAGAAGGAATTCCAGATGACAGCAGGGAAACTCTCCATCACCTCCAAAACAAACTCACAAGGGTTGTTTACGGCAGAGGAAAGGATCCTCCAGAGCCACATTTGGACAGGGGTCTCCCTTGGACAGTGGAGGAGCTGCCGATAGAGCTGAGATTTCTGTCTCACAAACAGCTCCTTGAATTGTTCTTGGCATTGACTTTTTCCTGTTCAGCTAATTAAAAATCTGTCCTTGAGTCGTAAGCCCCCATTAGTAATAATTTGCTTTGCACTTCTCCAGTGATTTATGGCCGAGATATCAAAGTGCTTTAGAAACATTAATTAATCCTTTAAACCCGAGGGACTGATGCACTCTCTGCAATGCACCACTGGTGGAGTAAACGTAGGAAATCCCTATGGTTTACTCCAAACTGCAGGCAGGGAGAGGGGAAGGGAGCATCACCTGACCCAAGGAGCTGGTTTCAGCTGCCTGCCCACAGTCAGATGTGCAGTCAAAATAACAGCACAGAATGTGCAGCCACAAGCGAGCCTCACACCTCCAAGCTCTCTGCTCTCCCATAGCAGTTCTTACTGCTGTCCCCATTTGTCTACAGAGAGAAGAGGAGCTGCAACACCCCAGTTCTTCCCTGTGGATCACACCAGGAAAGGCGTGTGTGGACCAAATCCATCTTCACCCAGAGCTCTGCAAGTGGCAGTGACAGGGTTGTTAATCAAGGCCACACTCCTCATGCTAACACATGGATTTTCTTTGCCGTCCTGCCCATTTCTCCAGCCTTCTGGCAAAAAGTCACTCTTTCCCAGCTTGCAGTGCAGACCCAAGGCTGTCTCCCACACCTGAGATGCAGCTCCAGTCCTTGCCAGCGATAAGGATCCTTACCTCCATTGGCTTCTGAGAGGCTTTCATCCTTGCGCACACCAATGAGCCATTTGCCACCTGGTATTGATCCTGTGATTTCAGTGTTGTCACCACAAGACTGCAGGGTGCAGCTGGCCATGTAACGTGGTGCCAGAGGTGGGGAAAGGTATAAAGGTGCCAGCACAGACTGCCACAGGATCTCTAAATGCGTGAGAAGTGTCCCGTTTCCTCTTTGCTGTCCCCAGCAAAGCATCACCTTGACTATGAAGGCAACTGGTGTTTTCCTGCTCTTCTCCCTGGCGCTCTGCTGCTACCAAGGTGAGTGCAACAATTTGCTCAAGAGCCTTTTCCTCTCCTTGCTAAAGCTCCCATGTCTGCTTCATGTGGAGGTGAGCCTGGGAATGGGCCAGCTGGTGCTGGGACCTTGCTGTGTCCCTGGGCAGGGAATACCAGAGAATGCTGCAATGGCCAATGTGGATTAAACCAGTGGTCTGTGAGAAAACCTAAAGCAAAGGATTTAAGGGGTTGCCTGGCACCTGCTCTCAAAGCTGAGCAGACCTCCCAAAACTGGGCTGACACTCTCCCTTCAGGGCTAGGGCTCGGCCTGGAGCTGGTGGTTTCTAGGGCAATATGGTTCTTTTGGAGTGAATAGGTGCTGTTCTGGTTTTAAAAAAGCAAACCCAAGAAGACAGGAAACGCATCTGTGCAAGTGAAAATGCAGCTCTCATTACCAAAGTCATCATTTAAGCCAACTGTGTTTTCAAAATCCCATATGGTGCAGAGGGGTAAGAACATGAGCTGCTGCTGCTCTTCAGGTCTTGCTCACCAGGGATTTCTGCGTTAGTGGGTTCATTTGGAGGAGGAGGGTGCTTCTGAAACAAGTCCTCCATCATCCTATTTGCTGTGCCACTGCAGAGCTGTCTCAGCACAAAATCTGCACTCATTTCAGATGAACTGAGCATGTAGCGAGCTCCTGGGTCTGGACTAGTGCTAGTCCAAAGTGAAATCCCTGAAACAGTAAAAGTGTGGCTATCCAGTCTTCAGCACCAAATGGTTTCACTGTACAGACCCACTGCTATTGGACTGCATTGGCTGTTAATACAGATAATGTCTAAATGCCCCATGTAGCTGACTTCTGGATCTATAAACAACCCAAAGTCCTGGCTTGCTCCCACCAGCTTTGGCACAAGACCTCAGGGTCCAACTATTTCTCCTTCTAATAGAGACCTTCAGCAATTTATATTTTGCTTTGCTCCCTGTGGTACAAACCCACTGACACCAGAAAATCACCTTGGATTTACTCCAGCACTCGCCCAGCTTCAGCAGGAGCTTCTCGGTTACCCATGAACAGGTCATAAGAGATAACAAAAGCCACCTTTGTTCCCTAGCAGCTGGAAGGGCAAGTCACTAGAAATATGCATCTGGCATCAACAAGGCCTTGCACCATCATGGTGTTTCTGCCAAGGAAAAGAGGCAGATGCAGCTGGGAAGGACCCTAATGCAAATTTGGGGAGATCCAAGGGAAGAAATTGTTTGCTGGGACAAAAGTGTTTGAGTGAAGACATGGTCTTCAGTCTAAAGCATCTTTACTAGGTCCATCTTTAAATCAGCCTGAGTGATGGGTGTTGTCTTCTCTCTTCACTCTTTCCCTAGGAAGCGCTGAGATGGATGGAGCTGCTGGCAAAGGAACAGAGGTGAAGGCTTCTGCTTTCGTGTAGCACAAAGATATGCCCAGCTTTAGTGAGACAGCACATGGGGAGCCACGATGCTAAATACAGTGAAGTACAGTGAGCTGCTGGGTTGGGAGCCCAGCGATGCCAGTGCCTGAGAACCTCCTTCTACCTGCTATGCCACAGCAAAATCCCAGAGATAATACTGGTTTCTCACTGCATCTCCTCACACTCAGTGGGAAAAGCTATTAATAAAGAGCTGAATATTGCTGTTACCTGCCATGAAGATAAGAGCTCCCCTTTCTCTCCAACTTGCAAGTGCAAGGACAGGTATTGTTGTGGCATAAAAATAAAAACTGTGAAGAACATGATCAGGCACTGTCCATGGAGCATTACCTGCTATTGTTACTCCTAAGGGTGTGCAGCAGGGCCCCATGGACTTCAGCTGGCCAAGGGACTGGTGACAGGCAGTCACAGTGGTTCTGGGAGCTCAGAGCAGAGCTCTGGGCAAGTTGTGATGGGTTATTAAGATATACAAACTACACAAATGCAAAGGTCCTTTGGTAAATTGAAAGCATGTTTAATATTTCCAGCATTACCCTTTTGTGTCTCCAGGCAGCTTGTGGCGATTATTCCCTAAGAAAAGGTTGTGCAAAGATCTTCGACCCCGTCTGTGGCACAGACAACCTCCTATACGACAACGAGTGTATGCTGTGCTTTCAGAACCTGTGAGTACCTGGACCTCCTGCTCATCTAAATACCACACAGATGAGGGCCGCTACAGATGTCTGGGATTTCCTAGAAAGCAAGCTGTTTGCATGCAGCTGGGTGGAGCACGGGCAGCGAGCCTGGCACATCTGGCACGGATCTGGCTTCCTGCATGGATGCTGCACTCGCTGCTCCAAGCACGTGGACTCTGCCTGTGGAATAGCTCCCACACGAACTGCCCACAAGCAGGGACCACACAGCCAAGATCTCCCCTTACCTGCAGCTGCCAAACTGAGGGGTTACTCAGACTGCGCTGGAGGGTGCCCAGGAACTCAAATAGTGGAGTCCTCAAAGCCTGCCCAGATCAAGCATGCAGGCAGAAAAACGTTTTTCCAAGTGACCTCAAACGTGTGGTGGCTGAGAAAAAACTATGGGGTTTCACATTAACTTATAGCTGAGCTCTGCTTTCTGCTCTTCTCTGCATATGAAAAAGTACAATTTGGGTATTTTTAAGAATGAGCCTTACATTTAATCTGTGCTGGTGCCAGATTGCACCGTCTTAGCAGAAGGCCAGGTCCAAATGCTTGCAATGTCTCTGGCAAGACTTGATTCATTTAATCTGGCTTGGGCCCTAGCTAATTTTGAGTATATTTATACATTGGGAGTGCTCTGTGTCAGACAAGTGAAGGAATTACTTCCAACTCAATGCTATTAGGTGGTTTGAAAATCTCTGTTGGGAAGATTGAGTCTTATCTGTAGCCAGCTGGCCCAGTCTGTGGGGCTAAGGGAGCTTCATCCTTGACTTTACCTGGTGGAGGCAGGGATTTTGGGTGATCAGGCTCACACACCCATCTGCCATCAGCAGAGACATTTCTAACAGAAGCTCAAATTCCAGTTTTCCTACCCCTGGATGAGTGGGCTTGTGGAGCCAAATTCTGCTTTCAGGAGCAGCTCTGCAGTAACAAGAACAGAGTCCAGATCACCAGGAAAAAAAAAGCTTGGATAACAATTGTTGGCCTGGTTGCCTCCTCTTCCCTTCATTAAGCCAGGCTGCTGCCCCATATTCTGCTTCTGGCCTGTTTAAATGCTGGGTTTGCGTTCATAAAGGATGCAGTCAGGCAGGGACATGCTGAGTGGGATCTCCTGAACAAAGGCGCCATGGTTAATGACCCAGCACACATGGCAGGGTGGTAATGACCACGCTGGAAGCCAGCAGCCCAGCACCAGCTGCCGGTTGTATTGTACAACAGATGGGGGTGGGAGGTTCATCAGACACAACATCATTAGGACTTTGGCCATGAACCAAGAGTGGGGTAAAGAGAGCAAGGAAAGCTTTAAAGCCAGCTTCCCAGGGAGCTAAGTGGCACTGCGGATGCTACATCCCTCCCTGGTGCAGAGCCAGAGGTGGTCACAAGAAGAAAAGTTTGGGGTATAGAAAGAGAAAGACTGAGCCAGTGATGTATCCAGAGCCAGCCAAGAGTCAGGGGAGGAAAGCTGGTGCTGATGTTCACTTTGCATTGATAGGCACTTCATCCCCATACTTCTTCAAGCTCCCATTTGAGCAAGCTCTAAGGAGCTGCATCTGGAAATGTGCTGCTCCGGTGGGTCAAAACCCTGAACTTTGCAGCTCCCCTGTAATGTTCCCAAGCGAAGAAGTTTTCGGGTTAGGAACAACAGCCATTTAGTCTCCTTGTCAGGGTGATGTTGGCCAGGCAGCAGGAGTTTGAACCTGCCTGGTGCCAAATGTCTCAAGGGAGAGATAAATGGAGCATCCTCATCTATAAAGCTTTAGTCCATGGGGAAAAGTCAGATAGCCAAGAGGCAGATGAAGTGTCATTTGCAGCTCTGTGTGTGCAGCTGGTCTGACAAGAGCTGGAGGCCTGCAAGGACTCTGGGAATAACTACTGAGAGAGCATCTGGCTGGTCCCTGCAGCACCAGCATCTCACTTGTAGCCTTCGGTCACTTCACTGTGACCAGCATGCAAAATCTGTTTGCAAAACACAAACCAGCTCGAAAATCATCAAACCAGCATTTCTCTATGCACCTGAGACATGGGTTTGTCTTTCCAAAGAGAACATCACGATTCCGCATGAAAATGGAACAATTCAGGGCAATTAGGTCACTACAGGGTAGAAAATAACAGGGTTTGTGGGTTTTTTTTGCAGGTGCCTTTTTAATATTTGCCTTGCTTTTGCTGTGGAAGCAATTGGAAGGGGAGGCTGGGAGAAGCCCAAGTCCAAGCAAGACACAATGGCAAGCATTTGCCTGTAAAAACCTACAAAACAAACCCACAACCTTTATCATCTGCATCCAGACAGAGATTACAGGTGTCTTAGTGCTGTCCTACAGCACAGAGGTGAATGCCAGGAGGTGTCAGAAATCACCAGCTCTTGAGCTTCTTGGAACCAATTAATACATGTCCATAGCAACACTGAACTCCCTGTCAAGAATATGTGGCCTTACTTACTGTGAATATTACTTGAATGATAATATAAGCAGTGCTTTCCTTCCTTTCTTCCTTCCTTTCTCTCTTTCCTTCCTTGTCTTCCAAGCCAGGGTCTTCTGTGTATCAGGGACCTGAAGGCATTCTCTAGCATATTTTTACATTTCTTCCAGGCAAAGAAACACCAATGTGGGCATAAAGAACAGGGGAATGTGCCAGAAGCCCTCTGCCTGGTCCAACTCCACTCAAAACTAGAAAGTACAACTGTTACGGAGAAGATAGCAGGAAGCTGTCCCTCACCTGTACTCCTAATAAAACAGGAGCATTGCCATGTCTTGCACTTGGATTCCTTTCACGCACAGCAGCCCCCTTTCCCTGACATTTGCAATATCTTCCTAGAAAATACAGTTTGTTTTGGTAGTGGCCATAGGAGCTGAGAGAAAATTACTGGTGGAGCCCCAGAGGCAAGGCTAAGACATGCTCAAGGAGAGAGCCAGGCTCCAGCATAACAAAGAGGCTCTTCTTTTGCATTCAAGGATTTTGATTTCCTTTCCACCATCCAAGCAATAAGAGATTTTAGCATTCTCATGACTTGCAATTCCGTTTGTTAAATAGAGGGCATTAAAGCCCTTGCTTCACGACTTTTGTCGGGAGGAAGAGTCCAACAAGCCACCTACGTACCGACCTGCCTCCAGCCTTGTCCATACACCAGCGCATCGGAGAGCCACCAACCTCAGACTCGTCCTGCAGGTCACAGCTACCCAGTGCATCGGAAAACCAAAAGGGCTCCGTTTTTCCAGGCAAACCCCGTTTTTTCTCCTCTAGCGGCCCCGGTGAGCTTTGCTGCTGGCACCCATGGGGCTGCGGGCCAGCGGGAGGGGCGATGCGGAGCCCAGGGCAGCGGGACGCGGGGTGAGGGATGGAGAAAGGGATGTCTCGGCACTGGAGGCCGCTGTTGCTCCGCCTGAGCCGATGCCGGAGCCGATCCCGCAGCTGGAGCTCGCAGCTGGAGGGAGGAGGCACGGCCGGGGCAGGCGGGGAGCGGCGCAGAGGGATGCCGGTGCTGCCCCTTCCAGCCCTGCAGCGATCCAGGAGCCGCTGCGGTGGGCGAGCGGAGATGCTCAACTGAAACCAGCCTGGGACAGAGCGGTCAGGGCTGGTGGTTGAACACTGCTGGGGTCCCCCATGAATTACAGCCCTCAAGTAAATGGCTATATTAATACTTTTGGACAAACCAAATCCTTAGCAAATGCTGAACTTCGCTGTGGTTATAAAGATGCGTTTCAGCTCTCTTTATTTTCCTTAAAGGGGCTGAAACACACAAACCTGCAGGATCAGCCTGAGAGAAGGCTCTAGCACTCGCTTGAAATTTGAAATGCAACCAGCTGCAGCGGGGAGGGAGGGCAGCACGGGCTCCACATCCCAGATCTGCCAACAAGTCTGGCTGCGGTCGAGGGAGAGAGGAAAAACGACTCACTTTGCCCGTATGTAAAATTAATGCACTGAAGGTGGTAGCCCCAAATAGGCTTGAGACTGCAAATTGCCTTAACGTCTTTGCATAAAGGGGATCCTGGAAGTATGCCTCCTGCAGCTGGGATATTTCTGATTTTGCTGCGTCATGAGAAACAGAGCATAGCTTTTAGCTGGAGAGGTCTCTGCAAGCGGGGCTGGCAGGAGGGGAGGCTGAGCATCCTCACGCTGTTTGCTCACTGCTTTTGGACTTTGTGGCATGGTTAACCCCAGCTTAGCTCCAAACTCATCCAAGTTGGCTTCTTCAACTCAAAACACTGAAGAGAATGCACCGAGGTCAGTTTATGCCAAGCAAAACATCTTTCCTGTCCGTGCCATGTCTGGAAAACATCACCCTGCATTAGCCAAGAGTATTTCTTTGATGAAGCAAGGTGCTGACCAAGCTTGCAAAGCAGCAGGTTGGTCACGTCATTCGGATGGCTGAGTGCAGACTGCATCTCCCCAGGCACTGCTTTGACAGAGCTAGCATTCCTGCTAAATGTCAGCCACATCCATTCAGCAGCAAGGTCCACATCAGGCTTGAGATTATGGGAGGCACCAGGTCAAGGGCCAGTCTGTAGGTACCGCACAGCTGGGATGCATCAGGCAGAACCAGCAGCAGGTTTCCTGGAGGGAACTGTTGCTGTCCATATTCTGGTTTTGGCTTGACCAAGTGCAAACTTGAGGAAGCTTTAACAGATGCAAAGATGTTTTATCAACCCCTAGACCAGGTTTAGTTTTATTTATAGGAGACTCATCCTCAAAAGCCAGTCTTCTGCCCCCATAAAAATTCTTCCCTGAAGCTGAGAAGAGAAGCACTTCATCTCAGCTGCTCCTCCACCATCTGATCACCAGCAGAGCCTGAAGCCATCCTGCTGGCAGCCAACATGACTTTTCTGAGACACCAGCTTGCTTCCCTGTGTCTCCTGATGCTGTTCCCAGTGCTGGTGAGTTGACAGGGATAGAGCAAAAGGAAGAGTGACGGGAGGAAGGGTAATGGTTTCAGTTCTTTTCTTCATCTGTCTAAATAGCTGCAGCCTTTCAGGCCACATTCCAAGGGCAGCACTTCTGGCAGTGGGTGTTTGGGAGAGCCAAGAGCACATTTCAAATGATGCAACTGGGGAAAAACAGGACTCGCCAAAACACAGGAAGAGCTCAGCCATCCGCCTCCATCCTCCTTCCCTTCTGGTTGCTGCCAGAGGGCTCAGCCAGGCCAGTGGGAAAGGCCAAGGGGTTCACAGGCACACAGTGGATGAGAAGGACCCCAAAGAATGGTACTAACGGGGGGCAGCATTTATTGCCTGGGAAAGCGAGGGCATGGAGCAATGCAACGTCAGCCCCACCACCACATTGCTCAGAATAACAACCGCTTGAATGGCAAAGTGGGAAACACCAAAAATAACCATGCTGGTTGCAGCAACCGGGAATTCACAGAAAGCAAGATACCCGTATGGCCCAGCCCCACGCCAGCTCTCTGCCTGCCCGCCCTGGGGAGCGCCAGCACATCTATGTAGAGGAGGAGCAGGTGGTTTGGACAAGCAGTGCATCCCCTCCTCCTGCCATCCAGGGAGCATCTCTCCAGCACTCCTTTGCCAGGATTTGCTGTTCAGGTGGAAGCTTTTCAAAGCAAGGTCACATCCTGCTCAATGCCTCCAAAGCAGCCCCGGATTCTGCCAAGCCTCAGGAATGTCACAAGAGTGATGAAAACCAGACAGCAAGGACAGATGGCCCAGGGGAGCATTTCCTGATCACAAAACCATGTTTCTTTAAAATTGAGACTTTTCTGCTGGTAAAAATTGCTGTGAAATTCAGCCAGGGAAGTTCTTCCCCCTCTGCCTCCTGGAACACTCAAATGAAGCTCCCGTCTGGGAAGGAACATTCGTCCATTGAGGTGGTTTTTGACTTGATAACATCATGATAGCAAACTGAAGTCAGGATTAGAACTGGACCAAGGGACTTTAGTGACATGCAGGGTCACAGCTGAGAAGCATCTCTGGATTTCTGGCAGTTTTAAAACACTCCCATTTTCAGTCCTGTTTGGAAGAGGCAGCATTTGCACTGCCTTCACCCACTGCAGCCTTCCCTGACCTTTCTCCACTAAGAAAGCTTCTATTTTAGCCACATTTTCGACATGAGATTTGTTTTTCTAGTCCTGGAATAAGCAGAGGCTTCCTCAGATGTGCTGCAGCTGCCAGAGGGTACTTTCCATGGGCTGTGTCCAAGTTCCAGGAGGCTTTTTGGGGAGGGAGCTGCATTAAGCCCAGTTTGGCCAGCTGGCAAAGAGAACTTCGCATTGCAGACACTGCATGGGCACCTGTCTGTGAAAGGCTCTGTGTGTGCTGCCACGTACCACCTCCTGCATCTGGCCTTTTGCAAAGGGTACAGACAGCAGTGTCCCCATGCCCAGAGCAGAGGTTCCACTCTCCTTTATGGGTCAGGTCTGCACAGACCTACATAATCACTTCAGCTGCTGCTGTTGCCACAGCCTCAACTAAAGATGTCAGGAATGCCAGCAAACACAGTTTTGTCATTGTGGAGATATAGTTGCCTGTCACAGTGCCGCCACACTGTGTTAGAGTGTTATGCTGCTGAGCTTGAGACCAGAGAAGGAAATACTAACTTGTTCCACCCGAGTAGGAAATGATGGTGTTAAGTCTCTGCAAAGCAAAAGTCTCACCAAAATGGAAGGATGCTTTTAAACTGCAAATTTCCTTTCATCTAAACCACAGCTTAGGCTACCTAGGTGAAAAGCTGCTCTTGACAAATGTATGGGAATGAGCTAGAAGTGGCTCTGTACCAACACAAACTGTCCATGGGGCTTAATACGGCTGTAGCAGCAGCATCACTAAAGAGTGGACACTTCTCACTGGTGGGCTGAAAACACCACAATAACCACAGACAACCACAGCCACAACTAGATCTGCAAGTCTGAAGCAAGATCTCAGCCTTTGCTTTCTAATGTCTCTCTGAGCTGTTAGAGACAAATCAAATGACAGTAATAGTTTGTACTTCTATCAAAAGACAGTAAGCTTCCAGGAACGATGAGCATCTAAAGTGCTCTGCAGCCAGTGCAGACATCGAGGCAGCCCTGCTAATGTTTCCACACCAGTTTTCTGGCCTTCATCCTGCATTAGGCACACTCCACTTACGCCAGGGGACAGAGGGGCTTTAAGTGCCAGGTCCGCAGGGTGGTGGCACATGAAGCTGCATTCCTCACGCTCTGCATGCTGTCGGAGACCTCCCAGCACTGCAGTTGGCATTAGCACTGCGGGTAGATTCAGTGCCGAGAAGTTCTGCTTCCTTCCAGCTAAGCACAGCTCTTGGAAAGCTCCCAGACAGAGGTCCTGTCCTTCACCTATGCCAGAACAATAACCTGTTGTAGCATTGCTCAGTGGGGGCAGATGGAAGGCTCTTCCAAAAAGCTTGAGCACTTTGCTAGCCACAAAATGATGCCACAAATAGCAAATCACATGTGCAGTTTAAACCCCTATAGGGATTGCTGGCCCCTGGGAGAAGGTCACGTCCTTCCTGTCCCATCCTGGCATGGAGCATGTGAAGATCCACCCCCACTCCTGCCCTGCAGGGTGCTGGGAAGCTCTCCTTTCCTGGCAGATGGTGCTAATGTGGCTTGAATCCACGAAGACATTAGGTCAGTGCAAGTGTCCAGCTTGCAGGTGGACACTATCAGGACACCAAGATTTGATGCATTAATCAGAGTGCCCCCTGTCAACCGTCTTTTCTGAAGTCACTATGCATACAGGGAAACATCAGCCTTCCCTATGCACCCTATTACACACTCTGGGGCACTCTGTCCCCTACCAA